GCGCCCTCTATTACACACACACACACACACACATATATATATAAATGTATTCATTAATGTAATAATTTTAATAAATCTGCTATTTATTTTTCGGTTATAAAACAATATATTATTCTTAACTTCTCACATGTTACTTACAGTTATTTGTAAGTGTGAATTATCGGTTTTCTCTACACATATTTACCCACGAAAAAAAAAAAGCCTGAAGAGCAAACAATTGGTACCAGAAGAATAAGTGTTAGAAAAACAGACGAACTTTTGTGTTGAATGTACGAAGGCCGCTTGTAATGCCTTATTTTCCTAAGCCTAGCGATAGTTAGCGGCATTATTAAGGAGCCACATTCTTTGGGTATGATGAATGTCTTTTTATTTTACAATCGAATGTACGTTGTTTGTCATGCACGTTTTTAGCCGTGTAAGATTTGATTTTAATTTATATTTTAAAATACAAAACTTCGTATTTGTCTCGTATGTACTTCACAATGTATTGTTAAAGCGCTTTGAAGGTCATCAGGATTGTTAGAACACTTTCAAGGTCATCGGTATTTGTTAGAACACTTTCAAGGACACCGGTATTGTTAGAACACTTTAAAAGGTCATCGGCATTTGTTAGAACACTTTAAAAGGTCATCGGCATTTGTTAGAACACTTCGAAAGGTCATCAGTATTGTTAGAACACTTCGAAAGGTCATCATCACGAATATACCGATTTCGAGGAAACTTGTAGATAAAATAAACCGAAATATTTAGAAATTATTATTTGTTAGCATTTATATTTCCAAGGTATAAGATTGGATTTATCATACTTCTTTGTGATTTTCCTGTTAGAAGCGTGCATTTCAATTGAAGTTAAGCCTTGTAATGCTATTCGAACCTTACGATACTTTAACGTTTGTTTGGTCACGAATTTGCGAAATGGCTGTAAGATATTCACTTTATAGCTCTTACTTGAAACGCCCCCTAGTGTTTCCCATTTGTTTACGTGTAAAAGATTCACCTCAATAAAGTTTATTAAAGCACTACCGCATATGGTTCTCGAAATGTAGATGTTTGTTTTCAAACTGAATTTCTCTTTAGGACCTCCTAGATGGCAGACCGAACCCAGGGACGTACAGAGCGGACTCGGAGAATCAGAACGGCTTGTGTGTAAGGCCTGGGGTTCTCCAGAACCACACGTTGAGTGGACGAAACAGACAGGTATATATATATTATTTTATGGTATGTAAGGCCTAGGGTTCTCAGAGCCACACGTTGAGTTGACTAAACAGACAGGTATATATATAATAATATTTTATGGTATGTAAGACCTAGGGTTCTCCAGAGCCACTCGTTGAGTGGACGAAACAGACAGGTATATACATAATATTATTTTATGGTATCTAAGGCCTGGGATTCTGCAGAGCCACACGTTGAGTTGACGAAACAGACAGGTATATACATAATATTATTTTATGGTATCTAAGGCCTGGGATTCTGCAGAGCCACACGTTGAGTTGACGAAACAGACAGGTATATAATACATAATATTATTTTATGGTATCTAAGGCCTTGGGTTCTCCAGAGCCACACATTGAGTTGACGAAACAGACATTATTTTATTGTACAACTTTTTTTGCATCATTCTATTTATATTCTATTCGAAGCATAAAATATTTTTCATTTGGGAACCTAGAAACAAATGCTAAACAGACAAAATTATAGAAATAACCTTAAAACTTATGTCTAACTAACAAGACGAAAACGTAATAAACAGTTATCAAGCTGTTATTTTTGCATCTTATTTATAGCAGTTTGAAGATGAGCACGATGTTCTGAATTCAAAGAATAAATACTTAGATGTACACGATGTTTCAACATCAAAGGACAAATATTTTACATGCAATATACAATCCCTCTAGCTTTCGCAAATCCCCTTTTTTAAAATCGCACAAGTTGTACAAAATAAGGGACTATAATACAATGTGTCTGTGAAACAAAAAATATTTGAAAATATAATTGAAAATGGTAGACCCTTAAGTTCCAGGTTTGTTTTTGGAAATAAGCTGAAAAAAAAGGCAGTTTTTTATTTCTGATTCGATAGCCTATTGTAATACACGATAACACACGAATTAACTCGGGCAAATAATTAATGATTCGGCGAGAAATGGTTTGCTCGAATTAACTCGGGCAAATATGTTTTGAAACGTGGAAAAAATGTAAAGTTATTCACTTTGTTTGTATAGTTTGATTTTAAGAGCAGCAATCAGATGACCGACTGTTCTCTTCGGCGTCTTGTGTCATATCATCCTTATTCTAATACTGGAAACCAGAAACATTTACAATTTTGGTAGATAGAAATCCAATATCTTTTAATGAATCCAGAAAAGAACAATAATTGTTTTTATTTCTCACAGAAGAAAGGGGAAACGTCTACCTCGAACAACAAGGCTTACAGTCTTCTGAAGACCCTCGCCTAACCCGTTAGTTATTTGACATCGATACCGTCCGCCATCTTGAAGTTTGATGTTACGGATGTCCAATACTCCTTTCTCCAAAACCGGGTGTTCTAATGGCCTCCATTCATTTCCTGTCCAAACAGGATATAATAAGAATCAAATACTACGAGTTATTGTAACAACTGAGAAACCTGAAGTATAGACACAAACAGCTGAAATGATGTATGTTTGGTCGTCACTGGTTAAGAAAAACGTGATTACTTGAAATAAAAGACTTTAAAAAGTTACAAGTGGAAGAAACAAGTTTCAATTTTATTGTATTAAACTACTGATGAGCCGAAACTACACAAATTAAGCAAGCAAGAAGAGCAAAATAGAAATATTAGTCTCGGTGAGCGCCATATTTGTTCTGATCTGGTCCCACCGATTCATTCATTGCGCGTTAACTTCTGACTTTTTGACCAATACTGCGATACTAAATGTACATTAAAATACCAGTATTCCACGGATTAAATTGGAATCTTGATATAAAGTTTTGTTGGACATAAAATACGTCATCCGGCCCCATAAACAGTATATCACGTTCCTTTTATTCCAAGCATAACACACTGGCCCCATAAACAGTATATCACGTTCCTTAGTGTGTTATGCTTCGAATAGAAGGAACGTGATATACTGTTTATGGGGCCAGTATGTTCTGCTTCGAATAAAAGGAACGTGATATACTGTTTATGGGGCCAGTGTGTTATGCTTTGAATAGAAGGAACGTAATATACTGTTTATGGGGCCAGTATGTTCTGCTTCGAATAAAAGGAACGTAATATACTGTTTATGGGGCCAGTATGTTCTGCTTCGAATAAAAGGAACGTGATATACTGTTTATGGGGCCAGTGTGTTATGCTTCGAATAGAAGGAACGTGATATA